GTGACTTAACTTAACCTACCCTAACCAACTCACCCTAACCTAACCTAACCAACTCACCCTAACCTAACCTAACCTAAAGCCACCAGGGTGAGGTTCCGACACCTTGACAGGAACCACCTTAAAGAAATCAAACTATCTGTACTAGGAAGACATACAAGCTATTAGGTACTAGCACTAGTTAAACCAGTATATTCATAGAGAAGGAGAGAGGGAGAGAGAGAAGAGGGATGGAGGGAAAAAGAGAGAGACAAGGAGAGAGGGGGGAAAAGAGAGAGAGAAAGAGAGAGAGAAAGTGGGAGAGAAAGGAGAAAAAAATATAAAGAGAGAGAGAGAGAGAGAGAGAGAGAGAGAGAGATTTGCATGGAGTGTCCCAGGCACTAAAAACGGGGTCATGGTCAGGTAACGTGAGCATCAGCAACGTAAATCAGACTCAATGAATGTAAATCAGACTCGAGGAACGTAAATCAGGCACGAGAAACGTAAATCAGGCTGGAGGAACGTAAGTCAGGCTCGAGGAACGTAAATCAGGCTTGATGAACGTATGTCAGGCTTGATGAACGTAAATCAGGCTTGATGAACGTATGTCAGGCTTGATGAACGTAAATCAGGCTTGATGAACGTATGTCAGGCTTGATGAACGTAAATCAGGCTTGATGAACGGAAATCAGGATTGCTGAACGTAAATCAGGCTGGAGGAACGTAGGACAGGGTTAAAAATAAATAGATTAATTGTTATTTTTCACTGGTGCAAAGTACTGTATGAGGTGAAGGTTGGGTACATTGTTTCTATTGTTACAGTGTCAATTAAGGTAAAGTAGTAGTGGTACATTGATACTAGTGTTACATTGCTGTTAGTGATGGATATGGTACAGTGGTACTAGTCTGACGCAATGGTACAATACTGCTAGTAGTACATTGTTACTAGTGATATAACAATATTGCTAATGGGACAGTTTTACCACTGAGAGATGTGTATTTCATTGGTACCGTATCACCCTGGTACAATAGTGCAGTTGTACTAGTAGTTCCTGCTACTGATCACGTGATACTGTCAATACTTACAATGTTACCTATGAGTGACGAGGATATTAACCTGGTATACAGTGGTACTAGTGTGGTACAGTGGTACGAGGTGCATTAAAGCTACGGTACAGTTACCAATACAGAACCAAGTCTTTGTATATGTCGTCAAAGTGTGATTCTTTTGTTATTAGTAAAACAATTAAAGGCAAACAGGACTTATTATTAACCTTACTATATCTTATTGTTCAGCGTGTACACCAGAGCCATGAGTGTTCAGCGTGTACACCAGAGAGCCATGAGTGTTCAGCGTGTACACCAGAGAGCCATGAGTGTTCAGTGTGTACACCAGAGAGCCATGAGTGTTCAGCGTGTACACCAGAGAGCCATGAGTGTTCAGCGTGTACACCAGAGAGCCATGAGTGTTCAGCGTGTACACCAGAGAGCCATGAGTGTTCAGTGTGTACACCAGAGAACCATGAGTGTTCAGCGTGTACACAAGAGAGCCATGAGTGTTCATCGTGTAAACCTCAAGACCATGAGTGTTCAGCGTGTACACCTCAAGACCATGAGTGTTCATCGTGTACACCTCAAGACCATGAGTGTTCATCGTGTACACCTCAAGACCATGAGTGTTCATCGTGTACACCTCAAGACGATGAATGTTCAGCGTGTATACCTCAAGACCATGAGTGTTCAGCGTGTACACCAGAGAGCCATGAGTGTTCAGCGTGTACACCAGAGAGCCATGAGTGTTCAGCGTGTACACCAGAGAGCCATGAGTGTTCAGTGTGTACACCAGAGAACCATGAGTGTTCAGCGTGTACACAAGAGAACCATGAGTGTTCATCGTGTATACCTCAAGACCATGAGTGTTCATCGTGTACACCTCAAGACCATGAGTGTTCATCGTGTACACCTCAAGACCATGAGTGTTCATCGTGTACACCTCAAGACGATGAATGTTCAGCGTGTATACCTCAAGACCACGAGTGTTCAGAATGTACAGCTGAAGACCATGAATATTGAAAGATGAAAACAAAATGTTTATCAGAGGCAAATGAAAAAAAAAGTGATAACATTAATAAGAACATAAGAACATACGAAAATAATGACTCTGCAATAGGCCGGTTGGCCTGCGCATGGCAGCTCCTGTCGAGGAATTAATTGATAAAATGATAACAAAGACAAAGAAATATTAATGATAATCTCTCATTAGAAGTACAGTACACTAATAAGAATAAAAGAAGTGAAGACGAGACCTAAAATAAGAAATTATGAAAAACACGAACAATAACAATGGTAAATAAGAGAATAAAACATATCATGAGTTGCCCTCCCTTAACTATTATCATAAAACCCTTAAACGATCGACAAATGCATCACCGTAGTTCATTTGTCAAGGTATCTTTCAATACCAGGTAGGACGTCTTTGTGCACACTTAGAAAGACATCTTTGTACCCCTAGTGAAACATCTTTGTTTTGGTTTTTACGGGGATTAGCCCACCCGATCACTGACCCACATCGGGGCCTGGGGGGCGAAGATGATGATGATAATAATAATAATAATAATAATAATAATAATAATAATAATAATAATAATAATAATAATAATAATAATAATAATAATAATAATAATAATAATAATAATAATAATAATAATAATTCATAGTAAATACAATTTTAATATAAAATACAAAATTGAAAATAAAATAAAATAAAAATTATAATAATAATAACAAAGAACCACAAAGAAATACAAAAATGAAAACAAATCAAAAGTGAGAAACATTATATGTATGTTGTGTTGTCAATAGTAAGAGAAACAATTGAAACCCTGCAATTGTGTGTAAATGAAGCAGAAAGTCAAATCAGCAACCTGGGACTTGTTCACAATTTCGTGTTGCCATCTAGCAGCAGGGTCTACCATTAGACAATACAATATGCTTCCAATATCTTCCCAGGCAGTAGTACCTCCCTGTTTGGTACCTGCCTAATACTTTTTTTTTCTGCCTACTACCTACTACCTACCACACCAAGTAAGACATGTTTATACACCTAGTAAAACATGTTTACAAATCTTAAGTGTGTTTTTCCCAGTTGCGAAGAGATTGGCTGTTGCAAATCTGTCCGATTTCGTCCTGAAGTAATGGTGTATTCCTAAATGAGTTTATTCATAATTGTTGGGATGACCGTTCCTGACCAGAAATATACTGTATTTAGCTAAATTATTTAAAGATACGTACATTTATTAGTTCAAACATGAGCGCGTAGGAAGTTTATAAGAAATCTTATACATTAATTAACTCTTAAATTCGGGTAGCAAATTCATGTTTTTGGAGGACGCATTTAAGATAACGTATATTTACTCACAATAAGGGTTACTAAGACAAATTACGTATTATTATTATTATTATTTTTACATTATGCAAAAACTAACATTTTAAAAGATCACAATCACAGTGAAATACTGTATTACACGGCTGTCAGAAAAGGCGGGAAATATAACTGTGAACAATATCTGCTGACCATGGCCCCCCCCCAGGCCTGTCACACTCGTCCACCAACCGTGTAATATTTGTTCACTCAGTACAGTATCCATATTTTTCTGGCTAAATAAACTGTTTCAATATCAATATGAAAAACTTGAGATCTATTAATTGTTATCTATTACAGTACTAAATCAAACTAACCTTTATTGTCGAGAAGTCAAGACTCATTTCAGTGAGGAGCTGGTAACTGCGAGATCACAACACAATAACTAATATTTTACATTTCCAACTTTCTGTTCACCACTAAAACATTGTTCACAGGTCACTGTATCCTTCACTCACAGGTCACTGTATCCTTCACTCTCATCTACGCCAAAGCTGCTTCCATTATATCCTTTATCCTCTTCGTCACTGATGGCTCGTCAGACGGTCGGTCACGTATTTGACATTTATTCCGCTTTGGAAATGAGAGATCTTGGATAAGTCCAGTACCCTGAGGTCGGCCCTGTACCCTGAGGTCGGCCCTGTACCCCGGGGCCGGCCCTGTACCCCGGGGCCGGCCGCAGTCACTAGTGGCCACTAGAGGCGGTCAACGCTGACAAAAGGTGGCTAGTGGCCTTATAAGATCTCCCTATTGTTTTGTTTTTTGTAACTCGTTTGTAAAAATAAATCGCAAGGAAATTAAAAAAAAATTATTACGCGAAAATGAAAATTCTAATAAATAAAAGATCGTGGTAGTTATGAACGTTGTATCTCAGCTGTGTTAGTCAAAGACTATAATAAGAAAGACGGGAAAGCATCTACCTCTACCGATAACAAAAAGCATGAGCCACTAAAATAGAGCTCTGATCAACGCCATCTGCTGGCAACGCGGCAAACTAGAAACTGGGCGCAAGAGGGTAACGTATTCATGTTTCCATGGTAACCAGCGTATGTGTATGTGTGTGTGTGTGTGCATGTGTACACATTAAGAACGTCAAGGCAAAGACTTCTAGAAAATATTATTACCTTGACGTTCTTAATGTGTACACATACACACACATATACAATATCACACAGTAAATTCTATATGATCAATGGTATATAACAAAGTGAAAACGTTAAACACAAGCTCAGGGTGATCTGTGTACCACACAGGTGATGGTGACGCCGCGCCATGCACATACCGCCACCTGTTGAGCCCGCGGCCAACTATATGCTTTACGGGGTTTTCGCCTTTCTTTCCTGTCTTCTTATTATAGTCTTTGGTGTTAGTGAATCTGGGGAGACGTTAAGAACAAGAGGAATAAAGACACAGAAAAAAAATACACGAGTTAAAAGAAGATGGTAAAGTTAAGTTAAAGTTTAAAACTAACCAATAGTTGACCAGCAGGTGATAAAATAATAAAGTAAAGCTACGCGTTCACAAAAGACCATACAGCGTGTAGTGCATTATATAATCCAGAATTATGCTGCAGTTTTTACTCAAAATCATATTATAAAACTTGTTGCTGTAAATATTCAATATTTATTGAAAAGAGGAATTTTTAAGGGTCAATATTGACTCAATAATAAGAGTTTGTGAACGGGAGTTGTTTGTGTTGAGGTAGAGGCTTGAGGAAGGTCTTCACGCTGCTCCCTTATATTAGGTGACAATGGTCAGTACTTACCGTTACTGCTGCCTCATAAAGTACTTGTGATTAATGTATAATATATTGCTGAGGCTACTGTGTTAGAGGCGGCGTCTGTTGTCTACCTCGGTTAATGAACACGACTATACACAAAAGTTTGTTTTTCCTGTATATTTTGATATGATTTGGGGACGGATAGGTGAGTTTTCTTAACATAATGCTGGGATGTTGTGCATTTGGATGCAGTAATAGGCTGGATAAAGTATTTAAGGTGCACAGGTTCCCAGCAAGGATTATCCTTGGGTTCCTGGCATAGGTATCAAGATAACATAACAATGGAGGAAACTGCAGCGGGCCTATTGGCAGTCCCATTTACTCCCAGCCCCTATCGCTCATATATCCATCCAGCCTATGTTTGAAGCTATCCAACGTATTCCAGTTAATGATGATGTTTGGTAACTTGTTCCACATGTCCACTTCTACATTTCCAAACCAATGTTTACCTATCTCAGGCCTAAATCTAAATTTGTCTAATTTAAAACCATTGCTACGCGTTCACTTCTGGTTGGATAGTTTGAGTACCTTTGTTTAGCCCTGACTTCCATTTATACACCTCGATCATATCGCCCCTCACTCTACGTCTCTCGAGGGAGTGCAAATTTAGAGGCTTTAACCTGTCTCTGTACTCAAGGTTCCTAATTCCTGGGATTAGTCTTGTCATTCTCCTCTGAATTCTTTCTAGAGGTTCTATATCCATTCTGTAGTATGGTGACCAGAACTAAATTGGGTAATCCAAGTGAGGTCTGACAAAAATAAATAATATAGTTTTAGGATAACTTAGCTAGTCTTGTAACTAACACACCTTTGTATGAACCCAAGTACTTTATTATCCTTGTTTCAAGCAAATACACACTGTTTACTTGGTTTAAGATTCCTACTTATCAATACTCCTAAATCTTTCTCACAGTTGGATTTCTCTATAACAACGTTGTTCATCTGATATCTGGTTTCTCTATTTACATCTAGACCAAGTACTTTACAATTGTCCGCATTAAATTTCATCTGCCATTTTTCAGACCATTCAAAAAATTTGTTTAGATCTTCCTGTAGTTTTGCGGAGTCCTCGTCAGATTAAATTACACGCCCTATTTTAGTGTCATCAGCCGATTTACTTATGTTGCTGTCTACACCGATATCTATGTCGTCTATGTATATAATAAATAATAATGGTCCACGTACTGAGCCTTGGGGAACTCCACTAGTGACGATGCTCCAATCGGATTTAGTGCCGTTAATGCTCACTCGCTGTTACCTGTCCTGTAACCACGCCTTAATCCATTTTAGAATAACTCCAACGCTGTGAGCCACCACTTTTTGTATTATTCTTTCATGGGGGATTCTGTCGAAGACTTTGCTAAAGTTGAGGTATACCACATCATAATCGTGGCCATCGTCCACTAATTCGAAAACAGACAAAAAGAATGTTAATAGATTAGTCAAACGTGAGTGCCCACTTGTGAACCCATGTTGGGAATCATTGATCAACTTGTGCTTCTCCAGGTGATTTTGAATAGAGTTTGAGATTATTGCTTCTAGCAATTTGCCTACAATTGATGTTAAACTGATTGGACAGTAGTTAGAGAATAGTGATCTGTCTTCCTTCTTGAGAATCGGTATTACATTCGCTATCCTCCAAGATTCTGGTACTACACCCGTTTTTAAGGACATGTTAAACAAATTTGCTAAGGGCGTACTAAGCTCTTCCTTACATTCCTTTAATACTCTGGCAAATATCTCATCAGAACCTGGTGACTTATTAGGCTTTAGCTTGTCTATTTGCTTACTAAGATCGTTACTAGTCACTACTATCTCGCTTAATCTATTTTCTTCACTATCTCTGTATATAGTCGGTGCTTTGGGTATCATGTTTAAATTTTCGTTGGTGAAAACTGTTGAAAGATATCTGTTCAGATTATTGCTCATTTCTCCGCCGGTATCTGACTGTATTGGTCCAATCTTGTCTCGTGTCTTAGTTTGATAAATTTAAAAGAATCCTTTGGGGTTTGACTTTGCCTCCTTTGCTACCTTCAGTTCATTATTCCTCTTTGCTTTTCTTATCTCGGTTCTTAACCCTACTGGCCAATACTTTATAATAATCTCGGAGGTAAACTTCACCACGATTTATTCTCCTGCCTATAGCCTTCCTTTACTCTGTAGGTAGTAGGCAGGTACCAAACAGGGAGGTACTACTGACTGGGAAGATATTGGAAGCATAATGTACTGTGTATTGTCTAATGGTAGACCCTGCTGCCATATGGCATCACAAAAATTGTGACCAAGTCCCAGGTTGCTGATCTGACTTTCTGCTTCATTTACACACAATTGCAGGGTCTCAATTATTTCTCTTACTTTGACAACACAACATACATACGGTATATTGTTTCTCACTCTTGATTTTTTTTTTTTTCATTTTTGTATTTCTTTATGGTTCTTTACTATTATTATTATTATTATTATTATTATTATTATTATTATTATTATTATTATTACTGCTACTACTACTACATTTTTGACCCCTAGGCCCCTTTGTGGGTCAGTGACCTGTGCCCGGGTGGGCTAATCCCCATAAAAAAAAAGCACAGATAACTTGTGATATGAAACCAAACATGCTATGATAATGATGTCATTGAAAAACAATATGAGTTCCCTCTCAGTTCTCCTCTTTGAGGAAAAACAATAAGTATATGAACATACCAATGCTAGGTATTGGAAATTAATCAAAACCCACAATGTGGGTTTGTATTCCGACAATATTATCCCCATCATTTATAAATTGAATACCGTAGGTTTAAGAACCTATTATGTGGAAAGAAAAAATACATGGGATTTGCACAGATCCCCACTGTTACGGTAACTGCATGACATCTTGGTCTTACCTCAACTACAGCAAACATAACCTCACCTACACCTAGCCTAACCTAACCTCACCTCACCTACACCTGACCTAACCTCACCTCATCTACACCTGGCCTAACCTAACCTCACCTACACCTGGCCTAACCTAACCTCACCTACACCTGGCCTAACCTAACCTCACCTACACCTGGCCTAACCTCACCTCGACCTACCAGTCTTTCCTTAATTTTTGGAAAAGTTATGTCTTGTTGATTTATGTTACATGCATCCAGAAATGATTTCTGCAGTAGCCCAGGCATCACCACAAACATGAATTTTGTGTGGGTAATTTCAGTAATATATGATATGAACTAACCAAACTTAATCTTTTTCAACCTACACTTGGTCTGGGTAACCCTTTACTGCTTAAAGAAAAAGCTTACCCCAAACAAATAGAAGTTGTAGGATGAGCATTTAAATGTTGTACCAACCTAACCTAAGCTTAATGTGCAGTTAGCTACTGTTAGGTATATCATTAGTTGCTCTTGCATGCACATTCTCTGTTGTTTGTGGCAGATTTTTATCTCTGGAGGTTGTTTTAAAAAAGTGAGGTATGTTTCAGTTATCCATATACAGTAATTGATATTATGTACATTATAACTACCCAGTAAAAGCTACAGTTGGTCAGATTGTTTGCTTATTATTTCTGAACATTATAAACAGAAATCAAGTGTGGAGGAAAAGAATTCAGCAGGCAGGAAGGGTGGGAGGTGGCTCGGTGGTTCATTGGAAGGTAGGGGTAGGGGGAGTCTTGACAATGTTTTATAGAGGTGGTCATTAAGAGTCTTTTATTTTCCTTCCATGCCACAATTTTATTTTTTTAGTTTAATTTTGAGGCAGACACGGCTAACACTCCCTCCCTGTAGGTGAATTAGTCTTGTTCACAACTTTACAATGCAATTTATGTGATTGTTGTTCATGTGTTCACATCTGGATATGTTTTAGTGTTAAATACAGTATATTTGTGTTTCAGAGTGGAGGAGGACCACCAGGTGGGAATGTCCCTCCAGGTTATGGTGCTCCCCCTATGGGGTTCAGAATGCCTCCCCCGGGCCCAGGTATGCCTCCTCGTCTGCCACCGCCGGGTTTCATCCCCCCTGGAGCACCGCCGGGATTACCACCACCGGCGTTCAATGTTCCGCCTCCTGGTTTTATGAGCTCCTTTGGTCAGGCTCCTTCAGGTACATTAAGTTACTTTACTAGTGTCTGCTTCAGAGACATCACTCACAACTCTTGGGGGTAAATTTAGACATTTGAAATCCTGGGTAATAAGGTTAAGTGCATTTAAATATTTGGAATAGAATATAACACGGAAGAATAATTGAAAATGTCATGATAGTTTTAGTGAGTGGAGGTGGTGAGTTGTGGAGTGTGTAAGGTTACGTGTATGGTTGTAAAGTTTGTTCCTTTCCGATTACTATGTGCTTGTGAACTTACTGGCACAGACTTGTCAATTTATAAATTAAAAAGTGTTGTTTTTTGTGAGCCTAAATGTGAGGAAGAGGTGTTGGCTGAAGGTGTTCACTGAGATGTTTTGGTTGTTTGGAACTTGTGTTGAATGTTGAAGATAAATAAAGGCATAGTCAAAGGGGCTGTGTAACAAGTTGTTCTCCTTGGTGACTAGAGCTAATGGGTTTGAGAAGAAATCAATTTATAAATTTAATGTTATGATGGTGTGATATTTCAGGTGAAGGTAGTGGTGCAGTGATCTCTGCTGGTCCTCAGCTCAATACTCCTCCAGCCAGCAATTCTCCTGCTGCCATTCAAGTAGTATCTCCAGCGACCACTCCAGGCCCAGCCACTTCAGCAAGTCCCTCACCTGCCAACATAGCCATGCCTGGTACCCCATCTCCTGCCCTGCCTACCTCCGCCCCCAGTGCCCCTCCAGTCAAGCCTGAGGCTGGGTAAGTCAATTTATGGTGAATTTGTACTTTACCAAGGATTTCTTGTTGCAGACTTCCTGTGAGAAAGTCAAACTGTGTATGAGTTACCACACAGTAGCTGTCATATATTAACAGCACCAGAGTTGAATAACTTCACAGGATTTGAAAAAAATAATTCTTTATAAAAACAATAGGGATGGGTGTGGTGAGGAACATAGACAGCACTTAGTGTATGTTTTGTGTAGTGTACTGTGCAGTACTGTTGTAATTTAAGAGATGGGTTTATCTTGAGAGGGTGTTCATGTTATGTAGTCAGGTATATACCATAGTGCTAATGGGTTCACTGTTAATGAAGAGTTGAATGACTATAGTATTGTGTTATAATATGCAGAGTAGAACAAATATTATCCAATGGAAAATTTTCAGTTCACCGACCAAGGACAAGAAGAGTGTGTGGACAGAACACAAGGCTCCAGATGGAAGGGTTTATTTCTACAATACACTGACCAGACAATCGTCCTGGGAGAAACCTGATGAACTTAAAACATCGGCTGAGGTGAGTCATTCATTGTCTCCTCTCAACAGGATCTCATAAGTTGACCACCAAAGCAAAGGTAATGTAGAAAAGTTGACATTCGAGGAGAAAGTCCGTTTAAAATTTGTGTATGGAAGACCAGATTCTGAATACTGATCACTGTGCAAGAGAATTTAATTGATATATGGATGTTGATTAAGTTCTCGTTGCAACTGTGTAGCATCTGGCTTTCTGCTCCTGGATTATTAAACTCACTCTTTACTTTGGTGTTACTTTCTCTACCATCTTCCTTATTTTGTCATAATTCCTTCAAGTGAAAAGGGAAAAAAAGAGAGGAACACTAATTTTGTGAAGGTACGTGACCTATGAGCCATATCTACAGAATAACCATTCCTTTTACTTAATATTCCTATTAATTTTTTACTTTACATGTGATCATAAGCATGACCAATTTAACTCCTACAGCAAGCATCTTGATTGAACTAGAGACTTGATATACTGTATAATTATTTCAATATCACTTAAACTATGGTACAGTTGCAGCCAAAAGTTTTCTCCCAGCAGTGAAACTGAGTCACAGGAATGATTCTCCGAACTGAATTAACCTGACTGTCATCTGGTGCAGTTGCGTTATTTTATCTCATTTGGGGTCAATGCCTGCTTCAATTTGGGAGGGAGTGAACTTTTTACCCCAACTGTACATCATGAAAGTTATTACCATCAGTCAGTGTTGGTGTAAATTTTGCTGCTTCTATACTATACTGTACTCAAATTGTTAATGTTTACTGTACACAAGTATGATGTTTGTTGCAGTTGTTACTGTCTCAGTGTCCCTGGAAAGAGTACAAGTCAGAAAGTGGAAAGACTTATTACCACAATGTTAACACAAAGGAGTCACGCTGGACAGTTCCCAAAGAGCTGGAGGACCTCAAAACAAAAATTTCCTCTGAAGAAAATGCGTAAGTAATTTAAATTGCCTTTTAGGATTCCACTTGTAGCTATGTAAGATAATGCCCTACAGCTGTATGATTTATGACTCAAGCTGTTGGAAGTGACTTATGAATGTTACCATTATGTCTAGCTCTTTATAGCCTCATAGAAACTCTTGTTGCATTGTTATCATTATGTCTAGCTCTTTATAGCCTCATAGGAACTCTTGTTGCATTGTTATCATTATGTCTAGCTCTTTATAGCCTCATAGGAACTCTTGTTGCATTGTTATCATTATGTCTAGCTCTTTATAGCCTCATAGGAACTCTTGTTGCATTGTTATCATTATGTCTAGCTCTTTATAGCCTCATAGGAACTCTTGTTGCATTGTTATCATTATGTCTAGCTCTTTATAGCCTCATAGGAACTCTTGTTGCATTGTTATCATTATGTCTAGCTCTTTATAGCCTCATAGGAACTCTTGTTGCATTGTTATCATTATGTCTAGCTCTTTGTAGCCTCATGTTTAAACTTATAATTTTTGTAAGTTAGAAAAGTGTCTTTAACCCTTTAAGTAAAATTTTCATGTTTTTTTTTTTAGGAGTAAAACAAGTACTAAAAGTGTCCCACAGGACAAAAAACCAACCTCTGCTATGGACCAAGCCATGGCAGCCACTCTCGCTGCCATCCAAGTTCCTGCCTCAAATAAAGGTGAGGCACATGAGGTTTAATAACATTAGTATTTTTATAATTTTTTATAGAGCTGTTCAGTTAAAATGGCCTTTATGAAAAAATATATAATTTTAATAAGAATGTATAGTTAAAGCTTTAAGTTCTATGTCTGGATGACTTTCCCATTACCAGCCCAGTTTTACAGAGTGGGAACTGGCATTATACAGTACTGTATGTAGGAATTCCAAGCAAACCATTTACTGTAGCTGGCAAGACAGGGCTGCTACTTCCTGTGAGGCAGTTAGAGAACACTGTAACCCATATTGTGGAAATTATATGTGTAGTTCTGTATGTCAGGGAGAGTGTGTTATTGGTGGTGTATGTCAGGGAGAGAGTGTTATTGGTGGTGTATGTCAGGGAGAGTGTGTTATTGGTGGTGTATGTCAGGGAGAGTGTGTTATTGGTGGTGTATGTCAGGGAGAGTGTGTTATTGGTGGTGTATGTCAGGGAGTGTGTGTTATTGGTGGTGTATGTCAGGGAGAGTGTGTTATTGGTGGTGTATGTCAGGGAGAGTGTGTTATTGGTGGTGTATGTCAGGGAGAGTGTGTTATTGGTGGTGTATGTCAGGGAGAGTGTGTTATTGGTGGTGTATGTCAGGGAGAGTAAGTGTTTTGAGTTAGAAATTGTAACTAAATGAAGAGTAACTTCATGCAAGATCTTTCTTGTTTCAAGCCCCAGAGAAGAAGTCCGGCCCACAGGAAAAAGAAGAGCTTGGTAAACCTGCTGTTTTAGGTGCTGTGACCCACTTGTTTATGTTGTTCATTATTACTGTTTCTTGATGGGTAGTGTGTGATAATTTAACTCTTCTTTGTCTAAATTTGTGCGATGAATTAACCCACTCACTCTAAATCAGTCAACAATTTTACTAGTTGTGTTTGAATAAATTTGGGGAAAACTTTTGATTAGGAATTTGTGTAGTGTTATTAAAGCTGTTACTAATAATAGATGTACAGAAACTCTCACATAACTTTACTGTATTGGTGATATCTTTGTCAAGTTTCTTTGTATTTGATTAATGATATGATTTTATTATCACAAATCCTCCCTGTTAAGAAAAGGGGGGATTTAAATGCTGTTAAAAGGGAATCAAAGAGCAAATTTGTAATAGATCTCGAAAGAGAAACTGATTCTATCCTAACAAAAGAAGTTAAGCATACTCGGGGTTTAGACCTTCCCATTACACAGTTGTCACCAAAATTTAGTGGGTCATTTTAGTGGTTCAGATGCAACGTGAAACTGGTAATACTTTTGCAACACCAACGATGCAATACCAAGATTATTGTCATCCATCTTAAAAATATGTAAACAAATTTCCTTGTGTTGCGGCATAAATAGTATGCCAGAGCTTCCCGTTCTCTTGGGTAGTGAGTTAACACAGTATATGTGTTGATGACAGGTGGGAGAGATTAACTGCAGTTCACATGGCAGTGTAGGTCTTGGGTGTTCTTTTTCTTTTTGTAATAATATATCAGAAAACTCATTTGTAAGCAAATACAAGTAAAGGAACACATTCTATGACACAGAAGAAGGCCACAAATGTTCACAGACTTTCCCCTTTGGGCGGGCAGAAGCGGCAGTTACATACAGAGGTCCTTTACTCTTGTGGTGCTTATTGTAAGTGAAGGGTTTGTCATAGTGAACACTGATGCACTTTGTCTAACAGGCATGTATGTGTCACACTTAAATCTGTTACTGTTCTTTAACTTTTAGAGCACAAATATTTCTGCGTTCTATGTGCTGTACTGTACTGTACAATGTTTCATTAGTAAATAATATTTGGAATACAGTACCAGGCATTGTACAGTAAATAGAAAGTTTGGTTCACACACTACCCACAACTAACTTAATATGTTCTCTTACATTTCTTGTTATGCTCATAAGTTAAACTTTTACTCACCTTGTTTTAATCTGCTTTTTGTTTTTCTAACCAGCATGAATATACTTATTATTTTAAGAATATATATATATATATATATATATATATATATATATATATATATATATATATATATATATATATATATATATATATATATATATATATATATATATATATATATATATATATATATATATGTAGTCTTCCTTCTTTCTGGTTTGAGTTAACATTTGTTACATGTAATATATATTGTTTGATATATGTACTGTGCTATATTGTACTGTACTGTACTGTACTGTACTATACTATACTATACTATACTATGCTGTACTATACTGTACTATACTATACTATGCTGTACTATACTGTACTATACTATGCTGTACTATACTGTACTATACTGTACTGTACTATATTGTACTATATTGCGGTATACTGTACTGTACTGTACTGTACTGTACTATACTGTATTGTACTGTACTGTACAATACTGTACTGTACTATACTGTACTTTACTATACTGTACTATGCTGTACTTTTTCTCATATGGGACCTTCACGTATTTAAAGTAAAAACAATTATAGTGGGTAAAATTCTTGCCTTTTTATTATTATTATTATTATTATTTTTATAAAAATAGATATTGATGAAAACTTTTCTATATTTTGTGTGATGTTACATTATTAAACTGAAGGATTGTTATGGTGAGCTTGTTGTCTGTTACTCACATGTTCATCACCACAGGTTGGACTACTTTAGACATTTGAGGTTTTTCCCTCAAAACAAGTCCATAAGAAGTAAAGAAGATGTCACATAATACTTTACTGTACTGTACAGGGGGCCCCCCTATTTGTGGGGGTTAGGTTTGCCCTTAGGACAAATATATCTTTTACCTGTATTGTATATATGTGTGTGTAGACACACACACAAAACACATACAAATAAATAATAATAGGAAAATACTCTCACAAATAATCAGAAACAAATTTATTAAAAATGTGACAGTCTACCCTGAATTCCGTGCTTTATTAATAAAGTAATAAAGCACGGACTGATTATTTGTGAGAGGATTTTCCAATTATCATTTATTTTTGTGTGTTTTGTGTGTGTGTGTCTACACACACACACACACACATATATTTACAATACAAATAAAGGAAATTGCTGTCTTTAGAACGAATGGTTTCCGGTCCCAGCTGCAAAAATGTTGGCAACTTTAAAACTACCCTCAGACATTCTTGGGTACATCTAGGGTGTCATCCATGAATAATAGAGGACCCCAAAATATAAATCCGTGAAGATGGGGGGGGCCTCCTGTGCTGCACTTAACTGTACTGGTGTACACTGATCCACTCAACAACTTAGTTGTGAAGGGAAAGCCTAACTAATTAATGAATTAGTCCCAGCTGCAAATGTCTAAGTACATACTAGGGATGCATGGGATGGCAGAATTTCCTATCTGGCCGGATATTGGATAAGCTGGATATTAAGAAAAATGTCCAGCCTGATACTGGATTATTAATGACAATAAAATCTCCCAAACTAAATCTTTATGACTCAAGGCAACAGCTCTTCAAGCATCTATTAAAGCATTATTTATTTTGTATAGAAGTGGTATTAGAGGTGAAGTGTAGCTGTTTCTCCATCATAGGGGTTGTGAGTGTACAGTAAGTATTGACTCAGAGACAAGGATCTTCTCACCTGTTTTGTCTGTCACTGTGTAGTAGAATAAAGATCATTTGAAGTATGATTTAGATTCTCTTAGTTAACCCATGGGTGTACCTTCCTGCTGGGTGTAGGGCAGGATACAGTGCACCTTCCTGCTGGGTGTAGGGAAGGATACAGCATACCTTCCTGCTGGGTGTAGGGCAGGATACAGTGTACCTTCCTGCTGGGTGTAGGGAAGGATACAGCATACCTTCTTGTTGGGTGTAGGGCAGGATACAGTGTACCTTCCTGCTGGGTGTAGGGCAGGAAACAGCATACCTTCTTGCTGGGTGTAGGGAAGGATACAGTGTACCTTCCTGCTGGGTGTAGGGCAGGATACAGTGTACCTTCCTGCTGGGTGTAGGGAAGGATACAGCATACCTTCCTGCTGGGTGTGGCAGGATACAGTGTACCTTCCTGCTGGGTGTAGGGAAGGATACAGCATACCTTCTTGTTGGGTGTAGGGCAGGATACAGTGTACCTTCCTGCTGGGTGTAGGGCAGGAAACAGCATACCTTCTTGCTGGGTGTAGGGAAGGATACAGTGTACCTTCCTGCTGGGTGTAGGGCAAGATACAGTGTACCTTCCTGCTGGGTGTAGGGCAGGATACAGTGTACCTTCCTGCTGGGTGTAGGGAAGGATACAGCATACCTTCTTGCTGGGTGTAGGGAAGGATACAGTGTACCTTCCTGCTGGGTGTAGGGCAAGATACAGTGTACCTTCCTGCTGGGTGTAGGGCAGGATACAGTGTACCTTTCTGCTGGGTGTAGGGCAGGATACCATCTACCCTCCTGCCTGGAAATCATATGATGATACCCATTACCCTGAAGTTAATATCTGGCTGGATAGGACAATTATTTGGCCAGATACTGTACCTTGTCCGGTGCACCCCCAATATGTACCCCAGAGCCCGACCTGAGGACTTGGTGTTGCGACATGTGAGTCAAATAATGGGAGGTGTTAGACGATAAATAGAACTTAGTATCTAAAAAATAAATTCAATTTATAGTTGTATGCTGTACTGTACCCACACTTACTCCAGGGTGCTGGATGGCCCTTACATCACCTCCTTCTGTTACACTTACTCAACATGCTTGTGCTGAGCCCCTCCAGCGCACACACAACCACACCCATTCTCTTTCTCAGCCTCTCTTCTCAAATCTAAAGCCATGACAGAGCAGACCGCAGTAACGGCCCCAAGTTCTTCCCGGGAAGGGATGCTAAGGCTCTCCGGGATGCAGACCGGCTCCTCCGGCGTAAAGAGGGTGGACTCTGCCGGAGGTAGTAATGGCTCCACCCATGACTCTGGCTCCAGCATTAGACCCGACCCTTTCTCCCTCCATTTGTGCAACACTCACAGTCTTTGCTAATCTCTCCTTTGTGAAATATAATTAGTTTAATCTTCTCAACTTTTTCACCTCTTCTTTGAGACCAAGTTTTCTAATGCTGCTTCTCTTGAACTTCACCAAAGCTCTCTAAGATGCATCATAGTTTCCACTAAAAAGTTGGGCACCTGTGCTTACTGTAATACCAAAAACTGGGTACCTGTGCTAAGTGTAATACCAAATACAGCTCCTCCCCGACTTACAACGGGGTTAGGGACCCAAATCCAGGTCATAAGTCGAAATGATCGTAAGTCGGAAATGCTTAAATAATACATAGAAAATCGAAAATGGGTGTCTCTTTTTCTTCTCAGCACCACAAAACACTTACTTTTAAGCTTGCCAGCCATTTTAAAGTGAATTACAAACAAAAATTTTGTCTGTGTACTGACTTTGGGACTCAAAAATATGTAATTCTACGAAATTTTGGTACGACTGAGGCAGGTCATAAGTGCGGGTGGTCGTGAGTCGAGTAGGTCGTAAGTCGGGGAAGATCTGTAATCTAATTGCTTGCCTCATGGACCTTAAATTGATATGTCATGTGGCCAAAAATGACTTTGCCTTCTTTGTCAACCATTTTGTATTTTATACCCACTTAACCCCTCCAACTAGGTGGAACTCTTCACCTACTTAAACTCTTGTCACAAGACCTAATTTTGAAATCCTCTCTACAAATGAAGTCAAAGAGATGCCACAAAGAATGCATTTAGTTTTACAGAGGATAATTTCAGTTGAGTCAGAGTCTTTTATTCTTCCCTACTTGACAAACTTCAACAAATATTCCAACATCCAACTTAAGCTCACAAACATTCTTATATATTCCATCATTTGTGAACTTCTTAACTTTAAATACCGGTATGTAATTTTTCCTCCTTTGTGTCATCCTATCATCAACTTACCTCCATCTTGCACATGTTCACCCTCTAAAACCTCTTTAGGTACTTAGTGAAGCCTTGAAGGTCTTCCATGTACTGTACAGCTTTTATAGTGAATTCCCTCAGCCTTGATGTCTCCAAGTGTACTGCGCATATGTCAGAGGTCATCCTGCTGAGAAGGGTCCTACATCTAATTTATCTACTAAATCTTTCTTTTCTCACTGCTGGTTTGATCCTTCATGTTATGATAGATAACTTGTCAGATTATAGATCATATCAGACCATGAAACTCTTCTCTTCTCCCCATCTGTCTTTGTGTCCACTTGGAATCATATCAAGCTGTTTTCTCCAACCAAAAGCACTTTGTTTGTACTGTACTTGACTAATTCTTCATCTGACAAAGAAAAATTCTGAAGAACTTTAGCAACTCAATTTATGACTAACTCTTATGGAGGAAACCAGTCTTTATAGTTTATTTTTTGTTTTCCTCTAATTCTTCTTCCAGCAATTCCAACTCTTCCTGTCCTCATTCTCTGCCTCTCACAGAACCTTTGCTCTGTCTCCTATTTTCCCCTCTCTCAAAGTCTACTTTGTACTGTACTTACTTTCCTGAAAGTGGTCAAAGTTTGTAGCCAGCACACTGAGCTCCTTATTTTATTAGTATATTTTAGTATATTTTGCCTCTGTCTCAAATTTCACACTGTTTCTCGTACATGGAAGTTTTAGTTCAGCTCATCCTTAAGAAAGCAGACAGCTTTAATCTTCCAACTACTATACTGTATCTCACCATTACCTGCACTTCACCCTTGTCTAAAGTCTGAAATTTTCAACTCTGTTTTTTTTTACGTCTGAAGCCTAACTCCCTTGTCTCTAATCACCAATATGGTATTTGCTGACCAGGATTTACTGGTGATAATTTTTATTGTGAGATCCTCATACAATCAGCTTTGCTTTGGTGAAACTTTTGCTGTGATCCTTGAGATATTCAAACCATTTGGCAGTACTGTATGTGGAACCAATGTGTTGCTTTCTAAGCTGCTTTATTTTTTTCTCATTCTCTCTTCTCTAATCCTTAATATCTTTCCAATTGTCTTCTTGGTGGTGTAGATGATGTACTGTCCTCTCACACACCATCTTCGCCCACCAACCTCTAACATGCACACACTTACACAGAAGATTCCTTAAATTTACTTCCATTTTCCAGCCAATTCTACTACCCTTATTCTTCTCTTCATCCTCATCTTAAGTATGTTACCCTCATTCTTCTGCAACACCCATTACCTCTCTTTTTGTTGGATCTGTGCAGCAGCACTAGCTGGGGAAACAGTAACTTAGTTTAATTTAACGGTTCCAAACCCTAATCGCTGCCTCTGTCTTTCTAAATTTGATCCTTTCCCAACTGTTAGTGTCCAAAACAATTCAAATGAACCAATAAGAGAATAAACTTGATAGGTAAAACAGATACTTCTACTTTAAGTTTGAACCTTGTAACATAACTCATCAAAGTGTTCCTACATAAAGCTGGGAATGTTTCAGTGGTGTACAGTTGTCCCTTCACTAGTGCATTTACAGGGGCTTGTTAGGTTATGGGCAGTGTGGTAATCCTGTGTTTGTTTGCATCCAACACAAGGGAACTTGCAATAGTAAACATACTATAGAATCAAATTAAAACAAATATCTCAAAGATAATGATTTGTGGAATGTTTATATGACAAACCCCTGTAAACACACTAGTGAAGGGGACTGTACCATGTGAGCACCTGCTTCTTGTATACAAAGGCTTCATACATGGTTTGTCTTCTATCTACATGTACCTGTTAGATGTGGTAGAGTGTAAATCCTCCTGCTGAGCACTTCCCACTTTCACCACCTATCTTTCTCCTGTCTCACTTAACCACGATATTGCTTTTCTGTCTTGAGGGCTGTGTCTGCATGCTGTCTCACAAGACCTGGCACTCTATCACAATACACTTCCAGCTGCCTCCTCTCACACATATTGAGCTGCCTGAGGATAGTCTGTTATGATATTTCCTCTCCTTCCACAATCAAGCTATTGAATTCTCACCCCTCTATTGTTTCCACCTCCTACTATCTGTTCTCCTTCAAGTGTCGGGTCTATTACTATTTGGGAAATGTGGACTGACCTCTCATTCTCCTCCAACTTGGCTGTGATTTTGGTATTTGCTGGTGCCACAATGTTTCTTATGTAAAAAAAGAGAAAAGTTTACCGTTCTCCACATTTTCCTGGGCCTGTACTGTTAGTTATTGATTTGATTTTATGCTCTAAACACCTTGATTTTCAGCGGGATGAGTTTGAGTTATATACTGCACTGTACTGTATAAGCAATGGTCTCCAGCATCCTTCAGTCTAGCTTATTATAAACCTTTTTTAAAACTGGTAATCCTTCATCACCAGACTACAATATGTACTGACCCATAGCCCTTCCCTTGTTATTATATGTTTACAGAGGCTTGAAACTAACTATATATGTAGGTGTCTACAGTTGATTTTTGGGTGTCTCAGATTCCAAGCCAGAATATACAAGTGTGAGATAAGCCATACACCAGCATTAACCGTAACCTTTCTGGCTACAAGTGCAAGGTACTGTAAAGAAACAAAACTTAAAACATTTCAGAGATAAACAAAAATAAAACTTCTTTTTATAGTTTCTGAAAAAGACCAATTTCTTCCTTTATAATATGGTGTATGGCAGACACCTAGACCATATACAATGGACTGAATGGCAGATACCTGGACCATGTACTGTACTGTATGGCAGACACCTAGACCATGTACTGTACTGTGTAGTGTTTTCCATATGTTGAACCATTGATTCATTAATTGCATTATTTACACTTGTAGAAAAAGAGAGCAGCAGTAATGTTAGCTACTAATGTGCAGTATTGTACAGTATTGCCATTATGGTATGTAGTCTGGTCCTTTGTGAAGTTTGGTGGAATTTGAGTGTGGATGGAATGCTGTTCTTGCCCCGGACCACTTCAGCTCTACTGACCCTTAGGTGTACAGTAGTGTATTCTGGTAATATTTTATATGTGTTGAAGTGGTTGATAATGTAAAGAGTATTGTGATGTGTCACAAAGGCTTATTATTCACATAAACACATTGGGTAGAGCTGTACAACCTCACTAACTGACCACTTTGGTTCTGCCGATCTTTATATTTGGATGATACAGTACTGTAGTGCATTCTGGAATTTTTATTTATTTTTTATTTTTATTGTAAAATCAGTAGCAGCAACAATTGTTTATGCATTGATTTCAGAATACTGCAGCTTCGTTCTCTTCATAAGAATGTGTAATACTGTACAGTAATACAAAATACATTCATGTTTTATAATACTGTTTCTATGAGATATTACGCTCGGCTAAAATGTGTATAAACAATTCTTCTTTCCTCGAGTAACTTCTCAAATTTGTATTTTTAAAAATCTATTATACTGAGACTTTACAACACCATATTACTCCTGTTTACGTCTGAGCCTTTCCTCCTTTTTGTCTTATCTATCACTTCTTATAAAAACCTAATTCTGTATATATCCACACCACAAATGGAATTTTTCAACATATACTTATCAGAAATACTGTACAGGGGTCCCTGACTTACAAACGCCCGCTCATACGAACGAGGTTATTCTTTAAATTTACAGTATTTTATTTACCTGATGATTTATTTTTTACTTTCATATACTGTATTTTGTCATTCTATTTCTTCTTTTCTCTTAAATTACGTGATTTTAGATGTATATAAGGACTTAAGCTATGATATAGTGGCATTTTAAACATTGTTTTGTAAGTACGGTATGCACATGGCATGTGTTTTGGCTTAAGTACATTTTCGACTTAAGAACGTCTTCAGGAACGGAACCCGTTCGTAACCCAGGGTCCCCCTGTACTTTATATTTTGGGTTTGGGTGTTTTTTATGATTCCATGTGATTCCCCACACCTTTTTATGTGTCAACACATTCCACTTCATTTTATATTCATTAGCCTTGAAAAATGCACTAAAACAATTTGTTGAACGTGCGTTCAAGGGCATATAGTGTACCACAATGCAAAGTGTAAAGTCTAGTGATACTAATTATGGATGAGGCTGATCCTGAGGATGTTAAAATGAACCATCTTGCCAGTACCGAGGGTTGTGCAGTGTGTTAGTGTGTGATCTATGTCATTGTGCAGTTATGGCAGTACAGTCAATATGGCTCGAGTCCATGGTAAATATAGCCTTATTGTATTAACTTGAGTTCACAGTAGATGTGGCCTTCATGTCTTAAGTTGAATCCATGGTAGATGTAGCCACAATAAATAGAGTGAGTACCAAGCAGCTCATATTATTCTAATGACGGGCTTGGTGGGTTTGACGGAGCATTAACGCATTTTTCTCTTATCCTGAACGTGTCCTGTTTACACATTTTTTGTGTCTGAACTTAAAATTTTGGTGTTGGGACATAGTTAGTTTCAAGCCCTACATATTGTAAAAGCATCACTTCTCTCTTCAACATGAAAAGCATAAGTTAATACAGTACGACCTCAGAAATCCGGAGATGTTGGGGCCAAGAGTACTGTATGTCAGATGTGTGAGCTGTCCAGTTTTGTGGACAAGGTCAGTCAGGTCACTTTCCCTCCTGTTTCCTTAACATCTCTAAACATTTGAAATTGCCACTACATATGAATGGTGTCATGTGTCCACAAAGGTCCTTATTATATAGTACATGAGGAGGTGGTTCACTTGTCAGCTTACTGTACCTACAATTTTTTTTGTTTTTTTGTTTTTTGTTTTTGTTTTTTTGTTTTTTTTACATAATGCATTGTTTTTGTACTTCTCCAGTAAGCAGACTTAACCCCTTTACTTATTGGATGCCACTTTTAATATTTTGTGTAGCTAATAATGCCAGACGATTTTATTCAGCTTAAAGGTGACCCTGGTCAGAAAAAAACAGACAAATGCCATGATTGCCTTACAGCTGTGAGAGATGGCTCACAGCACTATACTTTATAACTAAAATATTTCACTGTCTGTAGCTAAGTCATATATAAAACTGTGATACATTAATGAAGTGAAACACTATGTGTCTGAATAGTGAGTGTGTGTGTGCACCATCAGATACACAAAATAATTGTAAATATCAAGTTTGGGATTACATTACCGTGCTCATCTTACATGATTATGAGGTGTGCCACTAGTGAGGCCAGCATTCACTACAGTACCAGCCAACTGGTCATGCTAACAGCTATATTTCTTATTAATAACAAAGCATGTAAAATATTTGCAAAAATTAATACATTTGCTAGTTATAAATAATATACTGTAGTATCATATAATGAGGTTTTACTCTTGTAAATATGCTTGACCACATGTGCTGTACGTAGCTGTGATCTTAGTTGTGACTCATAAACAATATGGCAGCCTTGTACGACTTCATTTGCTTTGGTATATGCTGTTTTTTTTACATTGTTTGTGAACATAACCAGGTCTTCATTAGAATGTACTGCACTGTATATCATCACCTGGGTCGTTATTATTCATTAGTCCTTCATAGTCTTATTTTGGGCTGTCATCTGGTTGTGCCAACGGGATTTTTTCTTTTAATTTTTTTCTGAGAGTTTCTGATTTGCTAAGATATTCTTCATGACTTATTTCTGGATTTCTGAGGTTCTGCTGTATGTGGCATACAAGATAACCTTTGTTTATGTTGTTCTTGTTCGGATGATCTTTTCTCACTCACTCACAAGCTTTACTGTGTTGCTGTTAACTTGATTAAACTTTTCTTGCTATACTGTATTGTACTGTACTGTACTGTACAGGAGTATTAGCATCATATTACAGTACTACTTTATTGCTCTTTATTATGAAAACTCTGCCCTGCCACATTCTGCATGAGTTGCTCTGGTCTATAGTCAACAAAATGATTATATATATATATATATATATATATATATATATATATATATATATATACACACTGTATATATATAATCATTTTGTTGACTGTAGACCAATATAGTTCTGAAGAACATCAGATCATCTGATGAACCTTAAGGAAAATTGTGAAGTACTGTATAAGTGTAATGATGATGTATAAGTGAGTGACATTTTAATTATATGGTACAGTAGTGTAATGTTATCATCATACTACAGGACAGTACTGTACTGTACTGTACTGTAGTAGAGGTGATGATTATGATGATCTTCAGAAGAATCAGGTTACCTCTGTTGTTATACAGTATCAAGTTTAGTGAGAAACATTTACATAACTACAGTACTTAATGATGGTATGAGAGGAGAGGTATGGTACAATACAGTAAGTGTTTGGTGGAGGTGTGTGTGTGTGTGACTGAGAAAACTACTGGTACTTGGGAATAATTCTCTCTCATATTGACTCGGTGAGGAGGAAACATTAACATAACTAAAGCAATTATTGCACTACTCACATCTCTCCTGTCCATGCTTCACAACTTAAGATTTTGACTAATTTCAATAGATTGATCTAAAACTGAGGGTCTCTTCAGCTGTTTTAATGAAATGATAAGTGTATTAAAATATATGTCTTTGTGTTTACAAGTAGTCAAGGGGGTAAAGTGTGTTTGGTTATGAGTGACAGTAGAAGCATGATGTACTGTACCTGTATATGTGTCTGTAAAGGTAGATATTTATTCATCTCTTTGTTATATTTAGAAACAAAAGGGATTAGTTGGTCTTACTATTGCTGTTTTACACTTGTAGTGGAAGTAGTGAAGGAAGTGACAGAACCCAAGCAGCTGGTGTTTAAGGACAAGAAGGAAGCATTAGAAGCATTCAAGGAGTTTCTCCGTGACAAGGTGAGGCGTGGCGGTGGTGGCTCAGGCTGCTACAGTACTGTACAGTGCATTATACAATACACCCAGAACTTAATTTTAATAATTCCCATAAATTGAAAATGGTGGATTTTTTTTGTTATTTTTAAATTGGGCAAGTAAAAGTTTTAAGAGACACTGTGGTGGAAACATTGAAGCTTTATCAGATTGTTTTATCCTCAGGGTGTTCCCAGTGATGCTACTTGGGACAAAGCCGTCCGTATGATACAGAATGATGCACGATATGAAGCCTTCAACAAGCTCAATGAGAAGAAACAAGCCTTCAATGCTTACAAAGTCCAGCGTGCCAAGGAAGAGAAGGTGACAGTTGCTCGCTGTATGAGGTCTTTTGTTAATACCCACTGACGCATTACTTTATCACCATGTTAATAATGACCAGCCATCAAGATTAAGTGGGTAATGCAGTACATTCAGTCATGCCTTTACACTATTACATTAGGACATATACTTTCTCACCTTGACATATACTCTTTCACCTCTAGAAATGTGGGAGACAAACTCCTCATTGGTTTTTGGGGTTGATGGAATATACAATAGTAATAGTAAAGTTATCACCCAACACACTACTGTTATCTCCCGTATCCTGTCTGATTCCTGTGTTGAATACAAGCTTCTTGGTCTCACTCACACAATATTGACTATGTACTGTACATCCCATTCTTTTCTGGGCTTCCAAGTGTGGATTAGATTACCAATTACTATAGTCCTTTTTTTATAGTTACATTATTTGCAAGCCCCTATAGTTATTTGGAAAAGTTTAATTATTATCTATATTATGTATATCACTGGGTTGGTGTTAGGGAGGGCATCCAGCCACACAACTTTGCTCCAGCATGCCTGGTGGCAACTGGATCACCAGCACTGTGCCCATCCCCTGGTCTCTCCTGCATTTTTCTAGGCTGACACACTTTGGCACTACTGTACCTAGGTATGCAGGGGGGGGGGGGAGAATCCTGTTCTGGTTTTACCTAACAGCTGCCTTCAGGTAATTGCGGTTTAACCCACGCATGTGTGGAAAATGGCCGTAAAACGTTGATGATGATGACCTTTGTATATCCAGAAAGGATGCAACAGTACTCAGCCCAGCCATATATAGGAATGACCAAGGAAAAAAAGAGGAAATATGGAGTTTCTTACTATCTGTTTGGACACACAGGAGGAGCAGCGACTTAGAGCCAAGAAAGCCAAGGAGGACCTGGAACATTTCCTCTTGAATAGTGAACGCATGAGCTCCTCCATCAAGTACTACCGATGCCACGAGATGTTTCAGCACCTCGAGGTACACTCACTGTTTTGCCTCCATTTAGATCTATGTAATTGTATCTCAATAGTACTCTGTGTAAATTTTGGTACATTACACATGAAATATTTGTTTAATTAACATTGAGCTTGGTGTTTATTGTATCATATGAAGTACTGAACAAACATTATAGGTATATTTATGGGACTATATTACTGTATATTCATCATTATATATCCTCATGCAACTGTTTTTGTTATATTTGTTAAATACAAGCTACTTTAAATATGTCCTCCTGGTTTTTGTAAGAGATCATAGTAATGTGTGAGTTATTGTATAGGTGTGTTGGTCCAGTTGATTGATCATCTGCTACAACTTTGGACACCATATTTATGTTGCAGAATTTTCTTTACGTTTACCGTAAAGTGAAGAATGTGAGAGAATTTTGATGTTGATCACTTACTTGGTTGCTAATGTTGGCCACACATCACAACATACATACTGTACATATCTCATATGTGTACATAAGTTCTAATGGACTGTTTATTTTACTTAAAATAACGTGTTAATCTTGGTGCAGCTGTGGAAGACCGTGCCGGAGTCGGAGCGCCGGGAGGTGTACGAGGATGTGGTGTTCAACCTTGCCAAAAAGGAGAAGGAGGAAAACAAAGCAATGAGGAAGAGGAACATGAAGGTGAGAAAGATCACTGGAAATGTTTCTCACTGAACAATATGTATCATTAATGGTCAAAATGTCTTGGCATACACAAAATGTACCATACAGTCCTTAACCTCACCTCTCTCACTGTGTCCTGCATACCTCTCACAGCTGCCCCTTATCCCTCCCACAATGTCCTGCACACTGTTACCGCCACAGTAAGATAAGCTAGAAGAGAGAGAGAAAGAGAGGGATAACCATAATGAGATATGAGATAAGAGATTTCGTATTGAAACACCTCAGCAGATTGGTCAGCAAATTCGTTGTCAACACTATATCTCATATCTCATTATGGTTATCCCTCTCTTTCTCTCTCTCTTCTAGCTTATCTTACTGTGGCGGTAACACACACCTTTCACAAATATTTTCCTCCGTTATCTTTGGTGGATCCTAACATTGAGGCCATCATCCTGCTGGATCACCTCTTTTTTTATGGGTGGATTTATCGGAAATTTTAACACAATACTTAGGATCATCAAACAGTGTTTCCATTAAAGTTTCAATGAATTAAGATGATATTTTTTTTCTTTTATTATAAATTTTTTTTAGGTAATCAAAATATAGTAATCACTTTTGATGGAAATTAATTGTGCGTTTAATGACATAAAGAGCATGTAGTGATGGTACTTAAGTACTAGAACCAAGCAATTATACCCATTTAATGATAAAAAAACAAAAATCCTCCAAAATTTTTAGCGTTTCCATCTAATTAGGTACAGGGAGTTCCCGACTTATGAACGTCCTACTTACAAACGCCCGCAGATACGAACGAAGTTATACTTTAAGCTTTCAGTATTTTATTTACCTGATGATCTATTTTATTTACTGTATTTTGTCTTTCTATTTCTTCTTTCCTCTTAAATGAAGTGATTTTAGATGTATATAAGGACTTAGGCTATGATATAGTGGGATTTTAAACATTGTTCTGTAAGTACGGTATGCACATAGAATGTGTTTTGACTTGAGTACATTTTCGACTTAAGAACGTCCTGAATGGAACCCGTTGGTGACCCCGGGGACCTCCTGCATAGTAATTTTTAGAGTTGCACACTTATAACATAAGTGAAGGCAGTTCACACAATACAAATAATAATGTACTCACCACTATGGTGGAGTAGGAGGTGAGACCGGCAACCATACTGTCCACAATCTGACTGGCTGTTCTCAGGTGGTTAACCCAACACCAAACCTCTAATGAGTGATTCAAAGCATTAAGACAGTCCAGTATGGCGACTCTTGGCAGTCCTCACCACCATTTTACTTAACCAATACCGGGTAGATGGCGACTGTCGTAACAGTCCTATGTTCATATTACTATTATAATAACAAAACGAGGATCACCTAAAACCAACTATGGGTTAAGGGGGCTTCTATGATGTTTAATTTTTTATATTTTGGTGGAAGATGTTATTGCACAGTGTTCAATTCACACTTGACAGTGATGTAGCTAGAGGTTGCCAGAGTTCAGACAATTTTTTTCTTCAGAAAATCCAATTTTTCATAATTTTTGGATCGTTCGCAGTGGGTCGATGCCGTTAATCCCACTCATTCACAGTGAAATTTTCCTAATTCTTTCTGGTAATGTATTACAGGTGTTGGTACAGTAGTAACAGCTGGTAATGTTAAATAAATCTCTCAACTGCCACTTGGTCATCATTTAAGAGTATTGTTGTGGCATGTTTCAGGTGCTGAGTGAGATATTAGACAGCATGACCAATATTACCTTCAAGACCACCTGGTCAGAGGCACAACAGATGCTCATAGACAACCCAACTTTTGCTGAGGACACAGACCTGCTGAGTGAGTAAACCACTTATATATGTAGCCGCTGTATATTCAGTGCCCTAATTGCCTTTTTGACATTAAAATGGCTTGTACAGACTCATCCAAGCATATGATCACTGAACACTGTGGTACACCTATTAACCACTCTAACAACATACATACTGTACTGTACTATACTTTACGTCCTCTTTTTCCTATTTCTTTATATATCAGCACTTGGTTTCATTGTCCTCGGTGATACACACTATCTAAACCTGTCTCCAGATCCATATTTTTTGGGTCAACACAACTTTCAATGCCTATTTTATCATTTCTTTCTCAATGCCTTATTTCCGTCTTATTTTCTATTCTACACCATTAATGCCATGAACTTCTAAGTCTTTATCTTATTCTTTACCTGTGTACACCACCTCACTCCTCCAGGCATGTCCCTAGTTAGGTTAGGTTAGTTTACCCCTCTGAGGGATGGATATGAAAAAAAAATATTAAAATTCACCTATTGCTGCATATATCCTATACAGTACGCACTCTTGCTGCTCCCTCTATCTCTTCCCCAGTCCTCTCCTTCGTGTACTGGGGAGATATAGCCATCAGTGTATTTGCCTGTAATCAAAAGTTTGTATATTAAACCTTATTCAATAATTTTCAACAGAATTTTGTGAAACTTTACAACTGATGTATGTATGGTATGCACTTAGCATGTTTTCGGACTTATGTACAAAGCCGACTCAAGAACATCCTCCAGAACGGAACCCGGGAACCCCCTATGTATAAGTATATATACTGTATAGGTATATTGTCTAGGGGCATTCCAGTTGTTTTAAGTAGAAAGTAATTATGTTTGTTTCTTTTTGTCTACTATGCAGTATAGGTGGAGTATATTATGCTCAGTGAATGTGCTTGTCTGTCTGTATGCAGTTATAAGGTTGTAAAATCTTCTTATGCCAGTTTGCAGTAGAATGTTAAGACACTTGGCACAACTGGTTTACATGGGGGGGGTCTGTATTCATCAAGATAATTTCTGTCTGTCTGTCTGTCTGTCTGTCTGTCCATCTCTTTCACTTAGACCCTAGGAAGGGGGATTTGTCACCTCTAGTTGACTCTTGTTTATATACAAGGCAGTAAAGCAGTTGTGAACACATGTTGCCTTAAGTTTGGACTCCCTGCTTTATATTTTGACTTGTGGGGATCTTTTAGCAGCATTATTTACAAAAATGAAATGCTGTATCTTGTAGGTATGGATAAGGAGGATGCCCTCATTGTTTTTGCTGAGCACATCAAACAACTTGAAGAAGAAGAAGAGGAGGAGCGTGAGCGGCAGAAGAAGAGGGTGAAGCGGCAACAGAGGAAGTGTCGTGACAACTATATAGCTCTGTTAGATGAGCTGCATGAACAGGGCAAACTGACATCCATGTCATTATGGGTAGAACTGTATCCAATGATCTCTGCAGACATCAGGTACCTTGTTAACAACACTCTTTATTTCTTATATCATGTTAACAACACTGTTTGTCTTATATCATGCTAACAACAGTGTTAACATCTTATATCAGGTAACTTGTTAACAACACTGTTAACATTTTATAATAGAACTTTCATGAACACAGTTCTTAAAGCCAATTTCTACTAAACAGCCTCACAAATATACTATACCTCAAGTCACACTTCAGAATTTGGACCATTGTGTACAGTAAGTGTTTAGACTAAAAAAAATTGTTTTTAGGAATGTAAATACAAGTATCCAGCAGCTGCTCCCCTAAGCTCACATCTTACAACTGATGGTAAGAAATCATCATTTGTGTTTTGTTTTCACAGATTCACGGCCATGTTAGGTCAGCCAGGATCAACGCCTCTTGACTTGTTTAAATTTTATGTGGCCGATCTCAAGTCTCGCTTCCATGATGAAAAGAAAATTATTAAGGAAATTTTGAAAGAGAAGTCATTCGAGGTCCAGGTGAGAACACTTGCCATCTTTGAGTATAATACAATGGATGGTATTTATTGTTGTAATCATCTTGCTATTAATAATACTCAGACTGAAGAACTGTTAGACAATATCTTTGTAGTTTTCTTCTCATGATAAAAAACTTTTTATGTCATGATGTCGTGGATGAGGCTGTGAGGAGTGGCAGGCAGCTTCAGGAAAGAGGATTGGGATTTTAGATTGACACAATGACTAAAATTCAAAATTAAACCAAATATATTTTGACATTACTTAATTGAAAACTTGTTTGAAAGTTTAGTTTTCAATATTATCTTTCACCTTTGGTGTAATATGAACATGCCTCTTGTTTTGTCAACCTTGAGGGTCATGGCTACAGTTCAGTATAAGGAGAAAGTGAAGTTTGTAGTAGAGACAGATGTAAGAAGTCATCTTGTATTATACATAATGTGTGTTATTTTGATGGTGCAGGTCAAGACGAGCTTCAAAGAATTTGCCACAGTGGTGTGTGACGACCCTCGTTCGGCGACGCTGGATGCTGGTAACGTCAAGCTAACGTACAACGCTCTTATAGAGAAGGTGTGTGGTTTGTGTTTATTCTTATACATACTGTACCAAAGAATTTTATCACAAGGATAATGGTAAGTGAAATTAATGTGCACTTATGGCCACATTTTTTTGTGTGTCTACAGAGTTCTGCAGGTCTATGACTGTATATTTCACTTAAAATTTGATATACTATACACTAAGCTGGCCTATAAACCCCGCCCCTCATCTATAGCTTCAAATTTCTGTTTGGTTCCCCTGGGCGTCTTACCTCCCCCTAGACTGCGCGTATTTATACCGACCTTTACTGTATGATAAATATCTAAAACTTTCTCACATCCTCTGTGAAGTGCTGATGACTTGAAATCATTTGCATTTTGATAGTCCAGATATTTAACATTATTTTAGATAATAACAGGTCTGCTTACCAATTGTGAACACATTTAGTTTGAGTTTTCTATGAACCAATCAGCTACAGTATTAGTATAGAGGAGGGCAGGGCCTACAGGCCAAGTTAGTGTGGAAATACTACAGTGATATTCCCGTTTTCCGGAACAATTGGTGCAGAGCACTTCCGGAAATAAGAGATTTCTGGGTATCCAGACAACATTCTCAAACCCGGAAAAATTCCTTCCCCCCCGGAATTTTTTCTAGTTACTGGGTGAAGTTTCTTAGAGTCTAAACTACAGATAGACTGACACTAGCCCACATCCTCAGAATGTTTCTGGGTGCTGGGGAAAGTTTTCCAAGAGTCTAAACTATAAAAGTCTGTAAAAACAGTTTTAATTAAGTTAAAACTCCATTTTCTTACAAGAATAATCCTATATAGTTTATCTAAAAGTTTTGTAAAATAAAAATATTAAAAAAACTAAAACTATATATTATAAGGGCGTGCGAGGCACCTCGTGAATGAAACTGTGTTACAGCGAAGATTGGTATTTTCCACTCGCACGGAGCTGTGGGGGATTAGTGGGTCTCATGAAGATGTCTTGAATCAAGACAAAGGCTAAGGTAATTTTGAGGCGGTAGGCTGCTAGCAAAAAAGTGTAAAAACTTTTATTCACAACATCTGCTCTAATTATCCTAAAAAAAATGAATTTGGGACGGTTGCATATATGGAGATGCGTTCCTGAGAATGTTATTTTTTACCTATAAGATATATACAGTATTGTATATGAAGGGGACAGGTGTTAATGGTTATTTACAAGAACACTGCTACCACCAGAAGGAGTTGTTCAATTTATTTAATTTTTCCACAAATATTATTATCATTGTAATTATAAGTGAAATTGCGGGGTAAAACACAGTGAAAACTGATCATATTACGTACTCTAATATGATGTATCTACGAGCTTTGTACATGAAAAAAATATTTATTTAATATGTGGTAGCTGTTGTGATAACATTTTGAGATAACACTTTGAGTTAAATGCCCAGCTTCCCTGTCCAGTGGTAGTGAGTGAACTGCCACTCCCTGGGCATGAAAGTGGGCCGGTTGTTTTGCTAAATCGGCTGACCCTGGCTCGACCCTTGAGAGAGATGCATAGCCAAGTGATCTAGAGTCATGAATAACTTGGTGTTATTCATTTGAGTGCATATTTATGTAAACCAAAGGTGCTGTTACAACCAAAAATACAACTCTGATAAATCTGACAAGTCACCACGGCTTGTCTGTTTGTTTACAACTAACCGGCTTGGTCCAAGCGAACTCTCACGTCCACAAAACATGTAAATTACACCATGACGCTTCAACAAAATTGCTTTCATTGGTACCGGATATCATAATAAGTACTTTCAGTTTAATATGGTGAGAGGGGGCAGAGTCCCCTGGCTAGGAAGTTAGGTAAGGTTAGATAGGTTTCTTTGGTTGATTAGGTCAGGTTCTATTAGGTTCTAGTAAATGATAAGATCATCTGTGGAAAAAATAAACAAACTCAACAACTCGTTCTGGTGGTAGCAGTATTCTGATACAATCAGAGTTGTAAAAAGTACCGGACTTTGTGACTTAAGTAAAAGTTTTGTTACATTAATGAAGTAGAAGTAAAAGTATCCAGAGATCAATATACTTAAGTAGAAGTAATAAAGTATCTCATTCATAAAGTATTCAAGTACTGAAAGTAAAAAGTAACAACAAAATTATTAATTGTCTCAAATATTAAAGTAAATTCACAGTAAATTATGAAAATATAGTTAACTAAAGATGAAAATAAAAGACATTATTATACATGTTTATTTGCAAATCTTTCTATTGAAATTAATCAATAACTGATTCTCGAAATACGTTCAGCCGCTCTTCTCCCTACAATCCATCGCAGGGATAGTGAATGGGCTGAAAAGATATCCATCCAACCCTATGACCACTTTCTTCCTTGTCCACACAAGTATCATAGACATGGACTTATGGTCAGCAGACACAATGTTGTCTCTGCTCATATTACGTAGGTTAGGATACAGACCTATCTGGCATGTATCTGAGGTGGAGGTAGTAGGAGCCATCAAACAGGGAGGTACTATTGCTTGGGAAGATATTGGAAGCATAATGGGTTGTCTAATGGTAGACCCTGCTGCCATATGGCATAACAAAAATTGTGACCAAGTTCCAGGTTGCTGATCTGACTTTATGCCTCATTTACACACAATTGCAGGGTCTCAATTGTCTCTCTTACTTTGACAACACAACATACTGTACATATATTGTTTATCACCATTGATTTTTTTCATGGTTCTTTATTATTATTATCATTATTATCATAATTGTTATTATCTGTTATTATTATTATTATTATTATTATTATTATTATTATTATTATAATTATATTTTTGCCCCAAGGCCCTGATGTAGGTCATTGACTCAGAGTAAATTAAAAGGCTTATGATAATAGCTGCACAGTATTTAAATAAGATTTTTGTGTATTAGGCTGAAGCAAGGGAGAAAGAAAGACAAAAGGAGGAAGCTCGTAAGATGCGTCGGCTGGAGGCCGGTCTACGCGCTGCCTTTAAGTCCATCGGTGTTGACTCCGGCTCCACCTGGGAAGATGTACGTCCTCGGGTACAGCACCTTTCATCCTTCACTGCCGTCACCATAGAGGCAGAGCGCATCAGAATATTCAAGGTGGGTTTTGCTGTTTTCGGTCAGTTTGCCAAATGCATTTAAAGATGACACCTCACATGGTGATTACTTTGATAATAAATCTTGACCAAAATAGAGATTATACTGTTTGTATAGAACATTTGAAGTGTACTGAACATTAGTTTTTAATGTATATACTGTAAATCAACTTAGACATGATTTTTCTATCATAACTATGAAATAGGTTGTGTGTATTGTTCGTAGATTTTTAATAATATGGTATTACACAAGTCCTCTAAGGAAATTAGTTTATAACCAAAAGGTTGTATACTATATATATATATATATATATATATATATATATATATATATATATATATATATATATATATATATATATATATATATATATATATATATATATATATATATATATATATATATATATATATATATATATATATACATATATATATATGTATATATATATATATATATATATATATATATATATATATATATATATATATATATATATATATATATATATATATATATATATATATATATATAACTACGGCTAACCCACACAAGAATAGAAAATGGCTGTAATTATTATGATGATAAAAGAGAAGGGTAATAAAAACTGCTTCCCTAACACTCAAGAGGTACAATGGGAGACTAACAGTACAGTGTATTGATAAATGTCTCTCAGTTTTGTCTTTGGAATGAAATCTATTATACTGTACTAAAGCAAAAGGGATTATGGTCAGTTTAGACAAATGTTATATGTGAGGAAGATCATTGTTCATAATATTTATCAAGATAAGTCACAACAAACACGTAAGCTCTCATTTTATTCAGTACTGTATATAATGTTATAACTTGTAGCTGTATCAATACATTCAAGGGACTGGTTTTACTAATGTTGTTTTCATTTTGTTTGTACAGGAGTATCAACAGCACCTGGAGGAAGCGTGCGGCCATCACCACTCCCGCAATAAGAAGAAAAGCAAAAAGAAAGACAGAAAGAAATCCCGATCGCGCTCTCACTCGTACTCGGTGATGACGTGTTTCTGTTCATTGTTTACCTCTCACCCTGTGGTCTCTTTTATAGTCATTTAATTATGTTGTATCTCAAGGACATAACCCAGTCTTGGAACCACTTTACAGTCCTCTATTGTCACACCTTTCTCATTTACCCACATACAGTAAATAATAATCCATGTCCTGTACTTAAACATCCATCTAATTTATTTTAATATAAAGGAAGTTTTTTATGGGGTTTTTAAAGTATAATGGTGATTTTTCTGCATATGTTAAGGCTTGTGTATTTGTTTTAAGGTGTGAGAATTAATGAAACTATACTGTGCTGTATATTAAACATTGAGTCTGTTCTTCTTTTATCTTAGATCTTCTGCTGAAAACATAAGTGTTGACCTTAGTGTTATAACACACTTCTCTGCCAACAGTCTGACAGTGACGAGGGTCACCACAAGCGCAGGTCACGACGCTCTCGCTCCCGCTCAAAGAGTTACTCTGATGACTCTGAGGAGGAACGCCGCCGCTCTCGTAAGAAAAAGAGCAAGAAGAAGAAGGGGCGGAGCCGCTCGGTGAGTGTGTCAACTCGTGCTAATTTGTAGTTAATTAATTTTAATATGTTGTGTAGTTTGCTCATCACGTAAGGTATTGTTAACATTGATGTCATAAGTTCTCCCACTGTAATTATATTTCTAGACAGTATAATGTATTGTTGCTTTGTCTCTTACTCATGTTCATCCCAAGAGATACTTGATATAACATAAAACCTTGAATTAATAAAATGTACCTCGTCCTAAATACATAATTAATCTTAGATATGTAGTAATTGTTTTGAGTCACATTAAATAGTAAACTGACAGTCTTGGAACAGTGATATGCAGAAACTTGATGGTAACTACAAATAAAGAGTCTCCAGGCAGCTGTTAATGTAATTTGTTATTGTGTATTATTATACTGTATATGAATATTACTGTTTATTTATTTTATTTTATTTTTTTAAATTCTTTCAGAGATCAGTCAGCAGTGAAGACTCCTACAGATCACGGCGCTCCAGCAAGAAAAAGAAGCATCGTTCTCGGTCACGGTCTCGCTCCAGGTCACGTGGGGGGTGAGTTCAATAAGAAAATCCTTTTTTCCTACTGTCTGACTTTACTTTCTCTTAACTTTCATCCTGTCAGCTTTATTTTTCATTTCTTTTAGTTTATAAATAATTTATATTCCATGACCAGTTTTCTTTTATTTATGCATCAGTTTACAGGTGCAAGAACGAATTAAATAATAATGAATAGACTGTGAAAGCAAATAAGGAATGGTCATGTAAGAAGAGATTTTGACACTGAAAAGGTGAGACTTGAGTGAGCATATGTAGAGTGCATGTGTGTGTCTGTGTGTGTACATGCGTGTGTGACAGTAGTTTATATGTGACTTAGACTGTGCAACTTAGCAGAGCCTGGCATGCCCAGACTAGTGATTTTTCTAGTCCATGTGCTTGGCGGACAAGTTAACATTTTGAAGTTCATACCTAGACAGAAATTTGTCAGGATCTGCGTGATACCATCTTCCTGTACAAGTACATGTTTAACCAGTGGACCAGGATTAGTGACCTAAGTTACGTGCCGGTAATTTACCTCTACATGAAGCTGCCACCCCGCCTCGTGTCAGTTGATCAACTTGTCAACATTTCAATAGAACCACCAAACTGAGAAGTTGTATAAGTGAAGCGACAGGAGTTTATGACATCACACGGTAAGGGTTACTGCCACTGGCACCATTTAGTCAGACACAACTCATCTGTGAGTTGATACATGCAATAAATTTCAATGTTTATTTAAACAAGCAAATTACCTCCAAAAATTTGCCAGGGCATGTAAAAAAGATATCTGGGCAAGTAAATTTCAAAAATCACTTGTCTGGGACACATAAATGTTCCACATAATCGGCACAGTCTGGTGCGAGTGGGGTAGTGATGGTAGTGTGTGAGTTTTATGGTGATGGTATTGTGTGAGTGGGACTGTGATGGCATTGTAATAATAATAATAATAATAATTAACGGTTTATTGAAAGAGCTTGGCAGCCAGAAGGCTGAAAATATCCAGTTACATATTTGGGGAATGGGTTTCGAATTACAAATAATATACAAGTAACATAAGTGACACAAATAAGACATATAATAACTAGATGGGGAAAAGCTCAAACTACAGTTCATTTCAACATAGTGACAGTGCAAGGAGTAGTGTTTACTGGGAGTGAATACACTGGTTTATTACAAGTTATTGATAATTTTTACAATGGTTGGGACTGGGCTGTTCTTATAGCGATCAGTTCGTGCACGTATGGGCTGGATGCGGTTGTGGTGTCGAACAGCAATTCTCGGACTAGGGATCTCAGGTGGTAGTAGGAGCCGGTGTCGAGGATGGTGTAGAAGCTTCTTACCAAATTTGTAGATGAGGTCGTGGTGATGGTCAGTGAGAGTCGAAAGGGTCAGTGTGTTGAGCGCTTCTTGATATGTGGAGTAGGGGCTGTGATGGTAGTGTGTGAGTGGGATGGTGATTGTAGTGTATGTGAGTGGGATGAAGAGATATAAGAGACCAGGGGTTTAGTGCGGTGAAAGTGAATATTTGTGGGACACTCAAAATGTTTTGGAGAAATTTGGTAATATTAATTGAGGGTTGGAGGGTTTGTGTGGGTTCCATGGCTTCCAGAAGATGCTCTGTCCCTAACATCTGAAAATATGAACAACAGCTGAAGTGTTAACTGAATTTTTAATATTTAATATATTAAAGAAAAATGTAACAAGCATATCAAACAGTTTATATTATAACAGTTTATTATGGTACTGTTTAGGTATTAGTATACTCAGGGTGCAGTAGCTGAGTGGATACTTCACTTGCCTCCTGTCCTATGGGTGCTGGTTCAATCCTGGGGCACTCACATTCTCCTCAACTTTAATCCTTAGGCCCCAAGTGACGTTCCAGAACCTCCGCCTATTCCTGTCTTTTTTTTTGGGGGGGGGGGTTGATTTTTCTTGATTTATCCCGCAAGAGGGGGGTTACTGCCAGCAACACCCGAACCCTGGGCTTAAGGGTTAAGTGGGTACAAGTACCCAACTTTATAGTTGAGGAAGTAAAGGTAGTTGAGTTAAGGCTTTATATACAGTGTGCTGTATCCACACTGTCTCCAATAGGCCGTCATGACTATGGGACTCATTTTCAGTCTGACATGTACTGTACTGTATTGTATGTGGCAGAGATGAGGTAAGTGATGAGGAAAACATTTGCAATAAGATAGCATCATCCTCCTACACTTACCAACCAAAAAGACAGAGCATTATAAAAAGAAAAAATTGTCTCTTGTTACTGTGGTATCAATGTGGTGTCACCACACACCCCTGCAGCTTCCTCTGTTGTTGTGTCTCTCATGTCTAGCTGCAGTATGAAATATGAAAAATGAAGAGCATGGGTTGGCATGTGTGTGTGTGTGTGTGTGTGTGGACTTGGCAGGTTGCCAAGTTAGACTGTCCTTGTAGCTACATCCCCTTAGCTCTCCCCCTACCAGGCCAAGCTGTGTTATTGTTATTTTTTAACTCATATTTTTGGGTAGATGTACGCAATTTTATTTTATTATTTATTTTGTTTACTCTGTTACATGCACATACAATCGTTCATACAGAATGTGTAAAAAATAATGAAAAAGTGATTATCATAAGATAAAAAACGTAAAGAGAATAAACATTTCTTATGTCCACGAGAGTTAGCGTCAGATCACGGGAGGAGCAGGAGGGGTTGTGGTGTCGGGGATCTCTACCAGGCCAAGCTGTAAGCTGTATTATTGTTCTTTTTAAACTCATAGTTTTGGGTACCGTAGATAAATGTAATTTTATTAAAAAAATTATTATCATGAAGTCAAAAACATAAGAGAATAACATTTCTTACCACCGGAGTTAGTTCACAATCGTGTGAGGGGGAGCACACCCCTGTGTCCTCAGTGAAATGATTCCCTAACGCCAGTTTAACATTTTTCTTTTCCTTTATTTACAGTAGTAGTAGTAATATATCCATTTGCCAGAATCCCTCAAATCCGGAACTCTCCGATAACCGGAATTGAAATTTTCTCGGAAAATTGTTCTCAAAACTGGTATTTTCCGGAAAATTCCGGCTTCGGGAATGATTTTCCAAGGGGCACATATTCCGGAAAATTACAATAAAATTTTCCCGATACCCAGAAAATTCCAGGGACGGGGGAGATTTTTCCGGGTTTGAGATATGAAAATATGGCACATTTTCCGGAAATTCCGAGAAAATTCCGGGTTCAAGAATTTGCTCCCAGACCCGGGAAAAAAATTGGAGAGATCTTCTGGAATTTTTCCCAGAATTTTCAGAAAATGCGCCTGATTTTCAACACCGGAAAAACATTCCCAAACCCATAATTTTCTTGAAAATTTTCGAGCAAATTTCAATTCCAGCTATTGGAGAGTTCTGGCTAATTGGGATTCAGGTAAACAGAGATATTCTGCTGGTGACCCCCCCCTGAACAGCTCGCTTGGTTGCTAGGATACTGTCGCATTGGAATGCGGATGTAGTTTGTAGGGGAGAGATCCACTACAATATTACTTTACTGTATGTTATTAATACACAGATGATGTTTATGGCTACCTTGAACTGATACTGTTCTTCATTGTACTACTGTACAGTGTGTGTGTGTGTTGCGATGTAGTACAGTACAGTGTACTGTATACATATAGAGCTTTATGTAAGTTTCACTATAAGTAAATATGTCACCCAAGGGTCTTATAAAATAATTGCATTGATCAGACTAAATTTGGAAAGATTTGCTGACTTAAAGGTTGATTGGTAATTAATTTAATATCAGTGAAAGCAACTGAAGTCATACAGAAGAGAATTATATGTTGTGTGACTGTCAGTGTAACTTATACAGCGTGAGTCATTGTTGCACCGCCTCTCAGCTCTCGCATTGAGGTTTATTAAAGTGAACACATCAAAATGCCTCTTTAAATGGTCTTCATTTAACAAAGGTTTGATGAAAAAGGGTTAAGGTGATTGTGACAATTGTTATTTCCGCATAATTTTTTTTAAGAAGTTATGTAACAGTGAAGAATGTGAAGTTTATTTTATTATATTGTTGATACTGTACTGTACTACTGTACTGTACTGCACTGTACTGTACTATACTGTACTGTACTATACTGTACTGTACTGTACTGTACTGTACTGTACTGTACTGTACTGTACTGTACTATACTGTACTGTATTATACTGTTTTGTATTATACTGTACTGTATAGTTTAGTTTTGGTCCCATCACTTGTGGAATTTTGTAAGAAGGTAATTAAAGTAAGTAGTACCTGTAGTGATGGTTGTTCACTGAATCTTGAACCAATATGGTGTCCATGAATCTCTCCTCTGAGCTTAACTTAAATGTAAAGAGTTTATTATGTGATGGCCATGTGTCTTATGGTGACGAGAGAGAGAGCTGGGACCAGTGTTGATGTTAGAGTTAAAACACTTGATTTTTCTCTCTCCGCTTCATATTGTATATCTTGTACTGTATGTCTTGGTTGAAGTATTGTACTGTATGTCTTGGTTGAAGTATTGTACTGTATGTCTTGGTTGAAGTACTGTACTGTATGTCTTGGTTGAAGTACTGTACTATATGTCTTGGTTGAAGTACTGTACTGTAAATCTTTTATGCTCAGTTGATTCGTTAACAAGTGATTATAGATAACAAGAGAACAGATCATAGTCATGATAATCTTCTGTGAGTCCATAATCCATAATTGTTCAATATTTGATCATTTGGAATTTATTGCGTTATTCATTGTTCATAGGGCTAGTTACTTGTCCTTGCTTTCTTCCAAGCAGGAGAAAATCCAAAAGGTGATAACGTTCGGTGGGCTGTACCACAAGGTGTGGTCTTCCATTTGGACGTCATCATGAAGATGTGATAACCAAGACGTAACAACACCAGGTCTATACACACACATGAATCCATCCCCTCTGCCTGGAGACACCATGTCACGTGGTATCCTTGGAGAGGATGTCTCTGTTTGCCTGCAAGGCAACTTTTTCACTCACTTCTCTCTAACTGCTTA